GGTTCCCCCAGTGGGATTGGGATTGGGTTGACATAGCTGGTGACAGGAAAAGAAGCCTGCGAGGATCAGAAGGGTGGGGATGAAAAAGCAGCTCTGACCTCTGGGCCATAGGACACCACCCCCTGTGAAGTGAGGTGTCAGGGCCTCCTGTGCTGCCATCTCACTCCAGTCTCCCCTCAGACCAGCTGGCCTACAGCTGCTTCAGCCACCTCATGAAGAGGATGAGCCAGAACTTTCCCAATGGGGGTGCCATGGACACCCATTTTGCCAACATGCGCTCCCTCATCCAGGTAAACTCCACAGCTGACTGGGCACCGCCAGGCTTGTTCATCGTTCACAGGGAGGCCAGGGAGCTTCAAAAATGTCCTTTATGTATAAACTGAATTTCATTTTAAAAAAAAAAAAAAGATATTGTTTTCAATGTTACAAATTAAGGAGTGCCGGCTTGTGAATGCTTGTGCTCAAGAAAGTTCTGGTGAGTAGTGGGGTCAATGATGAAATCAAGCACCCAGAAAATGCTGTAACTCCAAAAAGAGTGCACCCCAAGGTGATGGAGGGGGCACATGTGCAGCTGTCAGACCACCTGGAAGAGCCCGGTAGGGGGACTTGAGGAGAGGGAGACCACCTGGGAGGCAGCATCAGGTTGGTCCGACCCCCTGTCTCTGTGCACACCAGATCCTGGACTCAGAGCTGTTTGAACTGATGCATCAGAATGGAGACTACACCCACTTCTACTTCTGTTACCGCTGGTTCCTGCTGGATTTTAAGAGAGGTAAGAGGGGCAGAGGGGAGGTCTCTCTTCCCCAGAGTCAGAGATTCTCAACCTTTACTGCCCTGGCTAAAGCAGTTCCAAACACTAGTTTTGGGAACATGTTTCAAACCAAATCTTCCCCAAGTACTAAGTCCTGTGCTGGGGTTGCGCTGGCTGATGAGAATGCAGGAGCGGCGTCTGCAGGAGCCCACTGTGCAGGAATTCTAAGCAGAGGGTGGGGTCTTGCACTGGGGCATGGGCCCCCTCCCCCACCTTGGGCCAGGTTGTGAGTAATGGGGAGTATCCCAGGACTCTGGCCCTTGGAGCTCTGTCTCCACACGTGGCTCTGTCGGAGGCCTGTGGGTAGCCAGGCTCACCTCAGGCCCTCCCTGTCCCTAGAGCTGCTGTATGAGGATGTGTTTGCTGTGTGGGAGGTGATCTGGGCGGCCCAGCACATCTCATCAGAGCACTTTGTCCTGTTCATTGCCCTGGCCCTGGTGGAGGCCTACCGTGAGATAATCCGTGACAACAACATGGACTTCACCGACATTATCAAGTTCTTCAATGGTAGGAGCTGGTCCAGCCATTCTGGCTGTCCCGGTGGGGACGTGGGAACCTCTACTCTTGGCCTGAGCTGGGCTGGAGGGACTCTCAGGAATGCCTGGTTGCTTCTGCATAAGCAGATGGAAATGGAATAGGGTGGGCACCACAGGGCCTCCCCCACCCCCCACCCCAGACGACTGTCCTGCCCCAGCGTCCCCACAGTTTATCTGTTTCTCCCAGAACGGGCTGAGCGTCACGACGCCCAGGAGATCCTGCGGATTGCCCGGGACCTCGTCCACAAGGTGCAGATGCTCATAGAGAACAAGTGAAGGCTGTAGCCAGGAGGCAGCAGCCTGCCAGAGCCCGGGCTGCAGGTCTCTGGGCCCTGCAGGGAGATGCAGGGGTGTCACAGCCAAGACAGCCCTAACCCCCAGCCACTCTGCCTGCCCATCTCTGTTCCTAACAAAGTGCTGTGAGCCTGGGATCCGCCTCCGGGCAGTGCTGGCCCTGCAGGGCGAGTAAGGGAGCAGGATGCCCTCAGGTCAGGGCCAGGATGGGAGGGGTTGGCCTCAGGGAATGGCTCTTGGGGGACCCCCCTTCTCTGTGCCCCTCAAATGCCTGGGAATAGCCCTACTGCCACCTGTAGCCTTGGCCTGGACTGTTGCCCATGTCATCTCCCAGGTCAGTCTAGCAGCTAGCGGGGCTGTACTTGTCTGGGCCCCACCACCTGACGAGGGTGGTGTGGGGCAAGGGGACTCTACTGTCTCTTCTGAAAGTCCCTTTGCAAGTCCTGTGCGTGTACGCGCACCAGCCGCCGCTGGAGCAGCCAGGACTGCTGCCAGTTTGGGCCTGTGTCCCAGGGACCTCAGGGGACCTGGGCTGCCTCTGGGCCCTCCCAAGACCGGGCAGCCAAGTGTGGGCCCTGGGTGGGAAGTGCCCACTTCAGTAGCACTGCCACTGCCACCTGAGATGACCCCATGCACCACCCCCCAGCTTGTACAGTGCACCCACGTGTATCTGTACAGTCTCACTGTTGTCACCCTGCTCTTGCTTTACGCATTAGCTGCATCCCTGAAAATGTAAATGACGCTTTTGCCAGCTGGATGCCTGGAATCTGGTGGGAGCATTTGCTCTCACAAGGAATCTCAGGATGGTTCTTCTGGGAGTCAATCCTGTCACAGCCTCCTCTCAGGGATAGGCCCAAAGTTTTTTGGTGGGGGCAGCCCATTGCTTAGCCCAGGCATCTTCTGAGTCCCTGGGGCTAAGGGAAGGTGAGGGTGAGTCTCTGACGAGAAGCAAGGCTAGCTCTGCCTTCCACATGCTTCTCAGGATGCCTAAGAGGCCAAGGGACCCAAAGACCCTCTTGGAGGAGCCTCACTTATGGAAGTGTTAGGAAGGGCCCAGCTCCTGACCCCAGGCCTAGGCACACTGCTTGCTCTGTCATCCCCACTTCCTTCCCTCCCTACCACCCCTCCCCACCAACACATGCAGGCTAGGCCCCAGGGCAAGGCCACCCTGCCGCTAAGGTATAGACTTCCTGCATCTGGAAAAGGGAAGGGTCCACAGCCCTCTGCATCCAGCACAGCCTCCCTAGCCCGCCCTTGCTCCTGGGGCACCACACGGCCTGTTTGGGAGCTCGCCTGCCCCATTCCCACCCTGTCTCCGCCAAACACGGTGGCTGTTGTGCACCTGCCTTAGTGACACAGTGGTTTTGTGAGGAGCAGAATGTGTATGTTTTTGTTGTTTGGCTCAGAAACTATACTCTTCAATGTAACAGACCAATAAACATAGCATTTGGCAATGCTTGAGGCTCTGGGGGCTACTTGCGGGCTGGCGTTGGATAGTGAGTAATTTTATGCGTTGGGGAATTCTGCAAGTTACACTATGGAGGGCAAGAGGGCCAGCCCGACGCGGAAGGACGGCAGAAAGAGCCAGTTTCTAGGAGAGAGGGACCTCAGTTATGAACTGAATGAGGGGAGCTTGGTAGCCAGATCCCAAGTACTCAGGGAGAGCCCTTGGAGGCCCCTCACCCAGAGCCAGTGGTCCTAACACACCGAGCAGTGGCTACAGCCTCTTGATGTGCAGGTCTTCCCCGCCCCTCCCCCTGTCCGCCTGCCCTCCTGCAACAGCGAGCTGGCGCTTGACTGGGAATCTGCAGGAGCCTCTTGGCCCTGCCAGCCAGTGAAGGACCCTGTCTCTCTGATTTTGACTCCTGACCGCTGACCACTGCCTTGAGATGCCTGCTTCAGGCTGGGGCAAGGGGGTGGAGGTGTCAGGAGGGGTCAAAACTGCTGGGGCATGGAAAGGGCCTGAGTAGAATGGGCTTTCTGCTGCCTTCCCCCACCCCTCAGCTCCACTGTCCCCATCGTGCAATATTCCAGGTAAAGGGCCCTATGGCCAGGGGATCGGGGACACTGGCTTTCTGGGCATTTAGGGCCCTGCTGCCAGTTCACTAAGAGCTGCCCAAGCTAGGAAACCATTTGATGTCGGGAATCTTGGAGCCAGGGAACCTTAAAAGCCCTGTAGAATACCTTCCCATTCCTCAGGGGTGACTCCACTTGAAAGCTCACCAAATGCCCTTAATAGAACAGCCTGGAAGTGGTTGGGGTTCTTCACACACTCCCACCTCTTCCTGCTCAGGCACAGCCAAGATGCTGGAGCAGCTGAGGGCAGGGTGTAGAGAGAGCAGGACGCACAAGCTAGGGTGCTGGTTGGTGTAGGGCACTGGAACCCTACACCAGAGGGTTCCAGTAGGGAACCCTCTACTCTGGAGGTAACACTTCCTCTCTTACAGAGCAGGAGCTGGCACATGGAAGCACCTGGATTCCTGTTTGGGATTTTTGTTCCATTACCCTGATCACAGGTGCTTCTTTTGTAGGCTTCAGCTGTGCTGAGGGACTGTGCTTTGAGTACAGGAAGGGGAGCTTTGCTTACCCTTTAGATACAGTGGTAGCCTTCAGGTGATTTGGGGTCATTCCTGCCAGGGACATGGTCTTCATCTTTGTCCCAGGACCGGGCACAGTGCTGACACCGTGTAGGTGCTCAGAAAGTACTAACTCCTAACCCTCTGCCTTCCCTGAAGTGGAACGGACCCAGTTCTTCCTGAAACTACCAGCAGAGGGAGCTAGCATCTCACAAGTGAAAGGAACTGGCGCTGTTGTGGGGCAACAGGGTGGGGCCCTGGGCCTAGGTTTCCTGAGGTTGGTCTTCTTCAGAGAATGGGACCCTAAGACTTTGGTGGCTACTGTTTCCTTCCTTAAGGATAACCCCCCCACAGCTGCAGACCCACTCCCAGAAGCTGAGTCAGTTCCTCGGGTTGGGGGCGGGGGGGGGGAGAGGAGGGATACAGCAGGTGTCAGGAACTTAGAAAAGGCAGGAGAGGTGGCCTGCCAGGTGTCGCCCAGTCTAGCTTAGCTCCTGACCCCGTTCTTTCACCTCCCCCATTTGCTCCAGAGACAGCCTCCCAAAGAACTGGTTTACCCTAAACTGGGCAGAGATGTTAGAGGGCCAAGTCTTCCAGACCCAGCTTAGACCATGGCTTTTTGGGCCCTGACCTTCAGTCCTTCCTCTTCTTGTTCCTTTCCCTGAAAAGACAGCTAGTAAGCACTTCCCATAGGGCCTGTTCTCACAGCCGCAGAACATCCCCTCTGAGAAGCCCCTCACCCATTGCGCACAGCAGGATCCTGACTAGAGACCCCAGGGCTGGGTGGGTGGCACTCACTTCCTGGGCCTGGGGAAAGGACTGCACGGTTGAGGTCTGACCGGCACCACCAGGGCCCCAGCTTGCTAGCTGCGCGACCTAGTCACTCCGCCACCCCATACCTGTTTCCTTATCTGCCAGAATGGACGAGTTGGCTTACTTACCCCACTGCGCTGCTGGAGATGAAACAAGATACTGCTTGTAAAACGGTTTGAGGAAGTACAAAGTATTGCAGAAGTGTAAGGAAGAACAGAGCCAGAGTTCTCAGGGCTTGCTGAGCACTGGGCCTTGGGAACAGGTTCTGAATTTTTTCTAGACGGACATGGACGTTGCTTGAGGACCGTGCCCCCCATAACCGGTTAAGGACCCTGCTGTGTGCTGAACTCTCCTGCTAAAGTCTCTGCTTCCTCTTGCAACAAAATGACCCAGATGCTGCCGGCTGGCAGCTCCAGCTCAGGTTTCAGTGCAGGTTTATTTCAGTTTTATATTTTATTCCAGGCAAGTGCTTATTACATGGAGAGTATTCATGTCTCAATACCTAAAGTCTTGGAGCATGAACAGCCACTAGAATACAGTTCAATAGTAAAAATACAATATGTACAAAATTAGGGTTTTTGTAGTTTTTTTTCCCACACAGCAGATGTATCCAAACACATAAAAACCTCTACAGTCTGGGGTCGCTACAGTTTATATTTCAGGAAACGGAGACACAGTGACCGAGTCCTCACTGTAAACAAGGGCCACCTCTTTGAGGGATGGGGGTGGAACCCTGGGAGGGAGAGAAGCTACTCCTAGAGAGTACAGGGGTTATGATGACCCCCCCATCCCCCTCCAGGCATTCCCTGCCCTTCTTTGGCCTCCCCCAAGGAACCAGCCTCCCCCTCTCCCCGAGGTAAAGATTCCCAGCCAGTGAGCCACTCTGAACATCAAAAAAGTAAAACACGCATGAGAGGTAAGATGTGTGTGTGTGCGTGTGCATGCCCATGCGCGCACACTCGAGTCCCCCAGGCTGGAAGGGCTAGAGAGGGGAGGGGCAGGCGGTCCCACAGGGCGAGGACGCTCAAGGTCCGGACAGCTCTCAGAGGGGAGATGCCCAAGGATGGGCTGGCCGGAGGCTGCCTCTCTTGGGCACACAGTGTCACAGCATTCACGAACACAACGAAACAACAGCAACAACACCCATTGTCACCAATCTGGACATAGTCATTCGGCACTAGAGTCGGAGGCCCCCCACTGCCGCGGGGAGGGGGCAGCGGCAGGCAGATGAGGTATCTGTGCAGGCCCAGGGGCACTCTGAACTGCCTCGAGATGCGGGGAGAACAGAGCTGAGAGGGCAAGTTCACCAACGCGTCTCTGTTCCCTGGGTGCCAAGCCTGCCATCTCCCCCTCTGCCCTTTTCACTATAATCACTGGGATTCGTGAAACCAGCTCCCGCCAAGAACAAGGGTGGAGGTGGCTGCAGGTGCAGGAAGGCAGCAAGCTTATGAGGTGGGAGTGCTGAGTTGGGTTGGGCACAGGGCTCCCTTCTAGAGGCCTCTAAGGCATCAAAAGGCCTTCCTTTTCCCCCACCCCGAGAACAGACTAGAAAACAGTCCCCTGGGAAGTCTCCAGGACCAGGAAGAAAATGAAAGGGAATTATTAGGTGTTTAAATCTATTCAAGATCTTTGTTGACTTCTGTCTCATCCTGCTGGACACTCCAGATTCTGGGCCCCTACACGGTCACCTCCCCCAGCCTGTCGACGCAGACTTCACACCTAGGGACACTTTTTTCCTCCCCCCCACACACTGAAAGGCCATTGGTGTGTCCGGGTGGGGAGCTGAGTGTGCATGTGTGTGTAACTGAGTGTCTGACACAAAGGTCACTTGTAAGGAATACCCACATAAAAGAAGCCAAAGTCATAGGCTGAGGCAGAGGCAGAGGCAGGGCAAGCAACCCACACACAGCCCCTCCCCCATCACCACCCCAAGCTCAGCCTTGCCCCCAGCTAAAGAGGAAGGCAGTGGTACACAGCAGCCCACCAGGGTGGGTACACTCAGAACAGCCCACGGGAGGAAAGGGTATTCCGGAGGAAGAAAGATGAGTAGAGACAGAGGCACGAGCCCTCTGCTGTCTGGAGGGCTCCCTGCTCCCTCTCTACAGCTTCCCAGGCCATTGGGGAAGGGGCTGGCCAAGCTCCTGGAGCTCAGCTTCCTGACTGTCTCAACAGCGTGGCTGCAGGCTTCTGGAACCAAGGCCAGATGCTGGTCCATGTCACCCTGGCTGCAGGAGGCAACGTCCCCTGGGGGCTGGGGGGTGTGCACAGTACCAAGCACAGGCCAAGGAGCCAGGGGACTGAACACCAGACAGAGCCCCTCCCCTCTGCCTTCCAGAGGCCAAAATTTATGCCCATAGGGAGGAGGAAGGGGGGGGGCAAGCCCCTCCTCCACCCCACCCTCAGCCTGCCCTCCTGAGGACAAGAGTCTGGTGGCAAGGTTTGGCGGGCTCGGGAGCTTGGCAACAGCTTGCGTTTGGTCGGCTGATGGCAGAAGCGTCTTAACTAGTTTCTGCTGTAACGAATCACGGTGACTGCTTTGGGTTGGAGCGCCCCGGGCTGGGTGGAACTCCAGACCAGCCACTTCCTGGGATCTGTTACCTGTACTCAGAGCAGGGCGCCCATGGTCCCCAGCTTTCTGGGCCAAGTTGCTTCAGTTCGGCTTCCCCCTTTGCCCTCCAAAGGTCTGGGAAGAGAAGGCTGAGGCTTGGGAGGGGAGGGCCCCCTCGCCAGACAAAGCAATAGCAGCAGCAGCACAGGAAGGCGGACAGGGTAGGGGAAGTCAGAAAACATGACATCCACGTCTAACTGGTTTCGGGGGATCGGGTGAGGAAGCAGGAATAGCACTGGAGTTGGCACCAGGCCAATGGGTAGCCTGTTCATCAGTCTCTCATTTTATCAAGTCCTAGTGCAGTGAGGGAATCCCCTGCCTGTGCCCAGCTCCCTGGGGCGGCCCCTCCCTCCCCTGGCTCAGAGTCTCTGCACCCCCTTCCCCTAGGAGGCCTGGGGGTGGGTGTGGGTGGGGCGGGCCTGGGCCTGGCTGGAATGTGTGGAGCTGGTGGGTGGGAAAGTGGGGGATAGGTCCCCCTCGCTGCCCCCACTGGGGGCCTCTGAGTGGCCTCATCCTCAAGCCAGCTTGAGTGTGCTGACTGGGAAGGAGGGCATGGTGACCATGGTCACAGGATTGAGCACTGTCTGGCCCACCAGCTGGGGGTGGTGTACCACCTGCGCCCCCACGGCTGGCTTCGCCATAACGGTGGCCGGGGGACCCAGCCCAGCTGTGCCATTCACTTGCTGGTGTGAGAGGGTGTGGGCAATGTGGCTCACCGCCACCGGCTGGCTCACCGCCACGGGCTGCGGGTACAGGGGCAGCTGGGAGCCAAGGTGGGCCACATGGTTGAGCGTGGCTGGGTGCACTGTGATGTGGCCAATGGGGGGTGTGGCAGGTGCCAGCTGCATAGCAGGGCTGGGGGCCGAGGGGGCGATGTGGGCAATGTGCTTGCCGCCTGGACCCTGTAGAACATGGTTCACAGTCTGGATGACTGAGGCATGGGTGGTGGCTGTGTGGGCGATGACCGTGGAGCCTCCCCCAGCTGCGGCCACCAGGTGGGCTGGAGCAGGCACCAGTGTCTGGGCAGGGGCAGCTGGCGGGGGAGGAGGGGCCGGCAGAGGTGTCTTCTGCTGTGTCGGCGGCTGCTGCCCAGGCAGGTGGGCAGGAGACAGGGCCACAGGCTGGGAGTGAGGGTGTGGGTGGGGCGGCAGAGGCGCGGGGGCGGTGCTGGGCGGTGGCTTCGGCAGCTCCGGGTGGGGGCGATGGCTCAGCTTAGGTGGGCCCAGGCCGGCCTGGTCCTCCTCCATATCCTCGTCTATGTTGTCCTCACCCTCTGTGGGGGGCACGGGGACAGGGGCAGGTCAGACGGGCTTGGGAAACGGCTGGAGGAGCAGATGCCCCTGAGGCCTGGGGAGGCAGCGGGGCTGGGGCGGAGGGCATCTTTTCCAGTAGGCAAAGGGAGACTCGCATTCGAGGGGCAGGGGCAACACGGAGCAGGTGGCAGAGAGGCTCACCGGAGGCAGTAGAGGTGGAGGCCTGGTCATCCTCGGGCTGGCCCGTCTGCCGGAGCACACGATCAATCTCCAGCACGTCCATCCACTGGCTCAGCTCGTGCTTGAGCTCGGCCAGCCGCTGCTGTGTGGCAATCTTCTCCCTCGCCAGCCGCTCCATCTCATGCTCGTATTCCTTCTCCTTCCTCTTCAGGGACTGGAGGACAGGGCAAGGGACAGCACGACTCCCTGAGCAGCAGCCAGGGAACTTCAGAATCTCCCAATAGCCACTCACACCACCAGATCCCCCAGGACACAGGGACAAGCAGGCAGCGTCCAGGGGGCTCAAACCAACCGGCTGCTGGACACCATACCTACCTTGTGGTCATGCCTCTGCCCAGTGAGGCTCAGTGTGCTGGGGACTGTGGGCTTGGGGGAGGTGCCAGTGAAGGAAAACAGAGATCCAGGTCAGTCCCTCCCGGCATGGAGACCCTCTCCCCTATCAGCTGTGTCTTGAGAGGCATCACCATCTCCTGCCCCACCCACTCCCCACCCAGCCTCGCCCTCCATGTAGAGAAAGACAAAAAGGGCGACAGGCTTCTCAGGTCGTGCCCCAGGCCAGCACCCGTGCCATTCTGTCAGTCACTACTACAGTCACAAGTGACCTCCTGGGAACGGGAACCCATTCCCCAAGAACCCAGACGATCCTGCCCTTCTCTCCGCGCCATTCCCTGATCTTTCTGGGTGTGCGGTGTCCTTGAAGACGACCCGCCAGACTTGGTGACATCTCCTTTGCCCCCGAGTTCACCTCCGGCTCAGTACCCGCAGCTGCTGGCTCTGTATCTCCTCTCCAAGCCGGGCGACTGCCACGGTGCCCACTTGTGCCGCCTCCACAATGCTCCAGTTTCACGCTGCCTGCAGCCCTCCAGGCTCCCCAGGGTGCAGAACAAGCCCCTCCTTCCACACCTGTACGCCAGTGAGAAGTGGCCCTTGGGCTGCGCTACAGCAGCACTGCCCCCGACCGAGCACGCCTGGAGAGGCGTCTGTCCTTCAGCACAGGTTCCAGGCTGTTCCCACCCCCGTGACGCTGAGCCCACCAGCCACTTTGTTAAGAACATGGGGTGGGGGGCGGGGGTGGGAGACATCCTTACCCCCGGGTCATGTCCCTCCCAACTATTCCAGGTCCACACATGACCCTGTGCCCCTGAGACTGGCCCCTCACACAGGTGCGGGACACCACGCCTCGCAGGCTGTGCTCCCTCTCGCAGGGCTCCAGTTTCCGCTCCCACAGGCGTATCAGCCGCTGTGAAAAGCCCAGCTCTTAGCTCGCTTCCATACCACACGTCTCTGGCTTACCACCACCTTCTGACTCTTAAACTAAACCGTTTTAAGTTTTGCAGGCTCCGCTGTCGTCGGCTTCGCCTCAGCCTAGGCGCGTTGTGACTATTAAGTCCACTAGCCACGACGGGCAGTCCAACCCAGCTGCTTCCCCAGTCTCACCTGTCCTGTTCCTGAGCTCCTAGCTTCCAAGTCTTGCCGGAATGGCCAGATACAGGGCCCACACCCTCACCAGTACAACCTCCTGTCTGTCCTCCAGGCCCTTCTCCGCACTGGCACCACACACCTGAGCATTTAATGACAGTCAAATAGTATTTAATCAGATGCTGGATCATACAACCCTCAAAATACTTTGTGTTTTGGCCTCTCTGGTGGCGCAAGGGGTTAAGCTCAGCACTATGAAGCTATCCACAGCCACTGCAGCACGAGTTCAATCCCCAGCCAGGGAGCTACCCACATGGCATAGCAGACCTCTCCTTCACCCACTGCTCCCCTCAGCAGTGTATTTCAGCAGACCTGCCTATTCTGCTCCCCACTCTGTCTCTGGTGAATCTTCTTACCCCCTGCACTTCTATGCATAAATAAATATTTTAAAAAAGTATTTCGTGTTTTGTCTTTCTATCTAAATACATAGTTTCTATCCAACCCTATGAGTGAAGGCAAAGACTGCTCTATAATTAGTTTATATCCCTTTGTTCTACTGATGGCAAGGACAAAGCTAAGCCATCTTAGCGCCAGAGGAAGAATCTGTGAAGATGTGAGCATGTTAATTTCCCTCCACCCATCCCCTTCATCACAGGAGAATCAATCGCCCATTAGACTTGAATTTCCCTGGATTCTGTTTTCTGTGGGCAGCCTTTCTTCACTATTCAGCTGCCCTTCCTGGGCAAGGCTGTCTCCTCAGATCCACCCAACAACTAGGTCCAACTTGCCCAAACTCTTTGCATTTTTTTTTTTTTTTTTTTTTTTTGGTAAAGATTTATTTATGCACCCAAGAACTGGGGTATAGACCAGAGATATGGGGCGGGGGGGGTGGGCGGCAGTGAGAGGATTCACCAGAGTGGGGAGCATAACAGGCAGATCCACTGAAACACTGCTGAGGGGAGCAGTGGGGCGAAACAGGAGAGGTCTGCTGTGCCATGTTGGTTAACTCCCTGCCTGGGGATCAAACTCATGCTGCAGTGGCTGCTGATAGCTTCACTGTGCTGAGACTTAACCCCTTGCGCCACCAGGGAGGTCCCAAACTCTTTGTATTTCCCACCTGAAAAATAAGAGATGTCTCAAACCATTAGCGCAACACACAGTCCAGATGCAACCATGCTCTATGGGCCTGAAACCTGATAGCTTTATACTTCTACATATATACTTCACACACAGCCTTCCCTATCATCCTGGCTTTGAGGTTAATCTCCTCCCCCATTTCTGTAATAAAGACAGTAGGAAAGACTCCACCACCACCACCACCATGACCAGTCTGGCTTCTCACCTGGCTCAACCCTAAGAGGCCAGTGCTCAACATGACATCAGTTGTCAAGCCACATCAATGATGGGGCCTGTGGTAAGTGAGCCCTTAATCATACCTGGCTGCTGGGAGTTGGAAGCAGCTGTCCTAACTCTGCTAGCAGAGAGGCCAGGCTTCTAGGTCAGGGAGAAAGAATGCCAGAGGTCAAAACCTCCTCGCACCTAGCCCAGTTCTCTAGCAGCCCCTGGAAAGCTTTCACAGGTCTAACTTTAGTCCACATTGCTTCATTTTAAGAGGGGATATAGCTCAGTGGCAGAACATTGATTGCAGCACACTGCTTCATTTTAAGCCCATTTGCTTTCTAAGATTACCTTAATCTTAGGTGCATGGATGTAAAGTTCAGTATGGCTTGGTAACTGCCTGCTCCTCTTCCTGTCTCAGTACTTCAATGTGCCTTTCATCAAACTCTGAGACTGTGGGGGTGGGGGTGGGGTGTTACTACCTTTCCACAGCTTCCCACCTAAAGCCCTCAGTGTATATGGTCCTGCTGCTCTGTGGCAACCGCCTCCCTGCCCCATCTCTACATGGCAACCATCCTGCCATCTCCAATTTCCAAACCTGCATCCTGCTTCCTCATGATGCAGAAATTTTGGTCTGCTCTGGAGTCTCTGCCCTCCGCTCTGCCTAGTCCACACCCTGAGACGTGCAGGTCAAAGATCAAACATCTTTTCCTCAGGACAAATCTCCTAACTCCCCAGAACAGACCCTGCTGTTCCTATTCCTACTCTGGCCTCCTTACATGGTCCTCTTGTTTACTTGTTTATGATCTGCTGAAAGACCAAGCCTATGAGGACACAGACCCATACTTTTGTTTTTGTTCCCTGCTTTACCCACAAAATCAGACGGGGTTATAAAAAAAGTACCCAAATGACTAAATAAATAAGCAAGGCTGAGGACTTACTGAAAGTCTTTCAAGTTTTCTGCTTCTGCTTCCATTACCAGCACCAGGACAAGTATGTCTTATAGACTGTCTGGGTCTGTGTTGTTTCCTACTCAGCCCAGGTGTCCAGATCTGCAGATTCTACATCATACAAAGCTCCTCTCCCTAAGGTATGTGATTACAAAGAGAAATTTGCCATTCTAGCCTTCCTAATGTTCTATAATTACTACAGTTATCACTTACATCCTATTTCCCAATCATCCCTCTTATCTTTTCCCCATTTAGCATCAGCGTAGTGACAGAAAGCTGATACACACAGCACCTGGACAAGGATTTGCTCCCAGGTCCGATCACTGAAGGACCAGGAACTAACAGTGACGCTCATAGTCTGCAAAACTCTCCCGGAAACAAGCCTCCGGGTACCTTCTCCAACCCGAAGCCCGATCCCTGCCCCCTCCCGGGCCGTCGGGGCCCGAAGGCGCGGCCCCGCCCCCGCCGAGGCACACGCGCACCCACGCGGCCCGGGCTTTGCTGCGTCACTCCCGCGTCCGCGCCCTCCCTCCGCGCCCCCGGAGCCCCGCCCCCGCCCGCCGGGCCCGGCCAATCCGCGAGCAGGGCCCCGCCCCCCGGGTGCCGGGAAGCGGTCTGGAGGCGCGCCCGGAGGGCGGGCGGAAGGGCCCGCGTTTGCTTGAGGCGGGGAGGGAGCCGCCGGCTGGCTGGGAGCAGTCGCGCAGCAGCGCCTCCGCCCCTCAACAAGTCAGGCTCCGGTTACCTCAGGACTGTGACCCCCGCGGTCGAGGCCGGGGGGGAGGGGTGGCGCCCCGCCGCTGGCTCCGCGCCCAGTGGGCCTCTTTGCCACTCGCTCCCGCGGGGGTCGTGCCGCCCCCCGGCCCACAAGCTTCCCGAGAGCCAGGGGGACCCCGATGCTCCCGCCTCCCCCCGCCCCCAGCGCGGCTCGGGAGCCAAAGTCCCTCCCACTCCCCAACGGCTCGGTTCCGACTACGTCTCCGCGGCAGCCGAGCGTGGCCGCCCGCCCCACCCCCACAGCCTCCTTCCCGGCACGCGGAACCCTCCGAGGTTTCCAGGGAAACCGAAACTCAGGCAGCCATGGCAACGATCTTATCTGGAGGGCGCCCCCCCCACTGCAGGGGGAAGTCTATGCCCAAAGGGAAGGGACACAAGGTCAGGAGGGCCCCTAGAGAAAGGATTTTTAAACAAAAAATCCCAGACGGAAGGACCGTGATTTCCTCGGGCTCGGGGGCCGCGGGGCTGTCTGCGACCCAGTCATGCCACCGCCCGTCTCCAACGCGGGCTTCCCCCCGGGCTCGGGTCGTGGCACCCCAACGCTGCGCGGCAGGAGCTAAACCCTTCAGGTGGAAAGTGCGGGGCTCCTCTGGCGCGCTGCTGAGCGCACGGCGGCACGCCCAGGGGACCCCCCTCCTCACACACCTACACACTCGGGCCGAACGCGGGTTCGCGCTCGGCACGGCGGGCGGGGTGGAGGCCCCGCGCCCCACGCCCTTCCCGCCGCGGGCGCGCTAACGCGGCGAAGTACCCGGGTACTCGGCCTGACACCCACCCGCGGGCGCGGGGGGTGGAGCGCAGATGGTGGGGCTCCGCGGAGCCGCGGGCGGGGGAGGGGAGCGCCGCCGCCCTCCCGGCGCACGCGCCCTGCCCCAGCCCCCTCCCGGGCGGGGAGCCCCGCTGACGTCAGCCGGGCCATGTGCTCAGCGCCCGCGTGGAGGTGGGCGGGGGAGCCGGCGGGGAGCGGAGAGGGCGGGGCGGGGCGGCGCGGGAGGCGGGCGGGCGGGCGGGCGCGCGCGGCCTCGGGGAGGAAGCAGCCGCCGCGGCCCCAGCAGCGCCGCCCGCCCTCCTCTGGGCCGACTTCCCCCGCTCCGTACCTGGATGTACCGCAGCGCGGTCCGCAGCACGCTCAGATTTGACGTCTTCTTGTCGTCCACGTTGGGGATGTTGCGCTTCAGAGTCTCAAAGCATTCCTTCAGATGGGCCCGCCTGGGGAGAGGGAGCAGCGCTGGTCAGCCAGCGCCGGGGGTGGGGTGGGGTGGCGAGGGCAGGGGGTGGGCAAAAGGAGGGAAGGTCCGAGGAGAGCTTGGGGGGCCAAGGGCGGAACCAGAGTCCCAAACACTCGCACATGCGCGCGCGCGCACACACACACCTGTTCTTCTCCAATTTGTTGTGGACTTCTCTGGTTCCGATCCTGAAACCCAGACAGACAGGAGGCTCAGGGAGGAGGGCCAGCTTAGGCGGCCTTCCTACCCCCCACCCCAAATGCCACTGTTTTTTTAAATCCCATACTTTATTAAAGAAGCCTTTGGTATGTTTGCCTTGTGTCATGGTGCACACACCCCTTGGAGGGCACATGCGTGCCCATAATTCACCCCTTTAATCCTCCATCCCATCAGACCACCTGTAAGGAGACAGAAGGGCTCCTGGGAATCCGCAAACTAGTCACTTGACCTCAGACCTCACTCTTGAGGCCCATAATCCAATACTCTGTCTAAGGGTCTGGAAATGCCAACAACCCCAAATTTGAAGGTGGGGGTCAGAGAAGACAGACGCCTGGGAACAATTTCCCACTTCCTCAGTGTGGGAATGGGCACAGTGAGAATGTGTCCAAACATAGTAGGGCCCTTCTCGGTTGGGGACGCAGGAAGGGCTCTGAGGGCTAGCCTGAGAGGAACTTTATCTTGCACATACAGCCCAGGGCTGGACAGTTCTTGTCTCCATCCCTCCAGCCTGGACTCTGCGACACCTCACTCACCCCCCAGGCCTCTTCTTCTGTTCGCTGGATTTGACTTCTTCAGCTGGTGCCAACTTCAGGGTCCCAAGAGTGGGTGGGGGTGGCTGCTGGGGGGCCAGCTGGGGCTGGACCCCAGGATGTGGTGCTATGGTCAGGATGGGCGTGGAGAGGGGCTGCAAAGGCTTGGGGCTGCCAGTGGGTGGAAGGCTGGTCTTGGAGTCCGGCAGCAGGGGAGCAGGGGTAGGCACCTGTGGCCTGGTGGGTAGGGGGGCAGATTCTTTAATGCTGAGTCCAGGGGTGCTAACCAAAGCTGGCTGGCGAGGCGCCAGGGGCAGAGGCTGGGCTGCAGGGGGCAGTGAGGGGGGCGGGGGTAATGGTTGGGGGGAATTGGTCACTACTGGAATAGGAATGACAGTCAGTGGGGTGGGGGTGGCAAGCGGTGGCGGAGGTGCCGGCGGGGGTGCAGGGGGAGACAGAGGCAGGGGTGGTGCCTCGATGCGGGGCTCCTCCAAGGGCAGGGCATGGGCCAGCCTGGCCAGGCTGCTGGCCTTCTTCTGTTCCTGCTCCCGCTCTCGCTCCAAGCGAAGCCGCTCCTGCTCCTCTACACAGAGAGAACACAAGGGGTGTCTCAGCAGGGCCAACAATCCTGGGTCCCAGCTTCACCTGTCCTCTGACTGTAACCCATCCTCTGACCCTGACCCAGTCAGTGCTCAGTGACAAACAAATAGCCACCCACACTCAGCCAGGCACTGGGCTAAGAGCTAAAGACACAGCAGTGAACAAATGAAATAGACCCAGTCCCAGCCTTTGGGGAGCCCAGGGCCTGGAGGGCAGAGGGGAGGGACAAAGTAAAAGGATAATAATGCAGGCTGGGGAAGGAAAGGAGCTGTGAAAAGGAGGAGCAGCAGCTGTCAGAGAGGATGCTGGAGGCCTGGCAACCCTAAGGTTGAGTGGTCATGCAGGCCACAAGCAGGGAGGGCCAGGAACAACAAGGCAGAGGGCAGTGGTGTGACAGATAAAGTGGGCAGAGGCCAGCCCACAAAATACTTTACAGGCCACCACAGGACAATGGAGAGGGCCAGACAGTTCATAGCTCCGGAGGAAGATCTTCAACCATACAAATAACTTCTGGAGGATAAACACCTTCATTTCACAGTTAATTAAGATATGTTAGTTCAGAGAGGCAAGGTGATTGGCTGCCCACAGCACATCACAGGTAAAGCAGGCTATGCCCAGCCTGGCAGACACCTGTACTTGCTATCCAACACATGCTCACTGGGAGTACATACACACACACACACACACACACACACACCCTGGATCCTCACAAGAGTCCTACGCCAGATAGGGCAGGGACATCACCTTCAGTTCACACATGGAAACCAAGCTCATGGCTCCCAGGCTAGGCCTCACGTCTCTGGTTTCCTCAGGGAACCATACAAAAAAATACAGGCCCTTCTCTGCCTTTTGTCATACTAGAACTCACTTCTCTCAACCCGCTGTGTTTCCAGCAGCAGCAGCAGCACACACTAGGAAGGTAAGAAGCAGAAAGGAGAGCTGGAGAGCAATGAGCTCAGGTGTATTTGCACCCTGGTTGTAGCTCTGTTGAAAGTCCTACTCAGGAGCTGGTTGAGAACAGGAGGTAATTGGGAGAGCCCCTCCTTCTCCAGAAGTCTCTCCCATCTCCACCCTGCTCCATCCTCTCCCTGGTCCCACCATTGTGGTTCTCTGGCTACTGGGCTGGGCCAGGGAGTGGCTGCGGTGCCTAGGCCAGGGAGCAGGCTGGTCAACCTGCCTTCCCCTCCTGTCCCGGATTCAGCGCACTGCTGACTAACAGCACTGACAGCACTGACTGGGTGGATACGCCTCAAACACAGCACCCCACAAGGGGTGGGGCTGGGGCCCAAGGTGAGCTAAGTGCCTCATAGAAAGATGTGCATTAGCAACCCCCCCTCCCCTTGTGTTTTGGGCTCAGGGGCCCCAGAAAACCTGAGGCCTCAGGGCCCTTTGCCCAATCCACAACTTGAGTGTGAGCCAGGCTTGCTGAGGCCCTCCCTCCCACAGAGCAGAAGAGGCAAAGGAGGAAGTAGAGGGGAGTGTTCTCAGAGGGGAAGCACTCAGTGGTTTCCCAGCAGCCAGAGTTCAAGTGCTGGACGGGTCAGCTTGGGCCTTGGTCTGGGCCTCTTCCCTATCTCCCCTGCCTTGCAGGAAGGGGAGATGCCAGGCTGGTGCAGGCCTGCGTGGGTGAGGGGAAGCCTTGATGTCCCAGGCGTTTCCAGTTAGCACTGGCTTATGTTCCAATCCCAGACAAAACCAGCTCTTGAGCGCCAGCTCTTCACAGCCAAGCGGAAAGCCTACTGAGTTCCAGCTTTGGAGCCCTTATCAGCCCCAGCAGGGGACAGCCCCAGTGCACTCCTCATCCCTGCTCCCCACCCCATTCTTCCAAATCAAGGCCCTGAGCTCAGCACCCAACAGCCCCATCACCACTACTACCTCTATTCCTTTGACCGTACCAGGACGCAAACTTCCATGGGTCTTGGGGCAAGAGTTCAACTTTCCCATGAGCCAGGGACACACAAAGCCCCAGGTCTCAAGGACAGGTACCCTGGGAACCCACACTGAAAGCAAATCGCATATTCCCCATATTTTAAAAATCTTCAAAGCTCATTCAGAAGATAGCAACCTCCCTCTTACCTCCCTCTCTTCCACTCAGCCAGGTACACCTCACAGATGCCAGAAAGGCCCCAGGTGAATGGCCAAGCTCTGTCACAGGTGGATCAGCATGCAAAGGCTTCACCTCCAGTGAAGGAGAGGGGGTGCCCCAGGCCAGCTTGGCCCATCAAAACGTCCTGCCTCCTCCCCACCCTTGACCTATTCCCTGTATCCTGGAGAGGGGGAAGCAAAGTAGGAGGAGCAAACTGGCGGTCACAGGAGCTACCCTGAAGAACATGTGTTACTTCCCCCAAATGACTCCCACTCCCATACATGCACACACATATTCTGGTCCTCCTTTGGGCTCTGCCCAGAGGGAGCCCACAAAGAATGTAGCAGGACCCCCGGTGCCACCCATGGGTCACAGGGGCACTACGTATGGGCACGACGTCCCCTGCAGCCTCTCCAAGCCACTGTGGCTCAGGGACACAGCAAAGGGTGGGCTCTGAGGAGTCCACACCAGGCGCCCTGAATGTTTTTGCTAATGCTCCCCTGCTACTCGCTGACAGGGAGCTTGGAGGATAAGGCAGGGTTAGGGTGCACCCAGATCAGGAGTCTGTGGACACTCCAGCCAACACCCTCCAATCAAGATAGAAAAGGGGCCCGTCAGGGTCACCTTCATGAATACTGACTGGCAGTGTCCAGTCCTGGCCATTTCCTCTCTTCCCTCACACACACACGTGCACACACATCCACAGTTTCATCATGTGAGCAAATTGGCTTGTCTAGGTCAGGAACGCAACCTTTGAGGTTGAATTGGGGCATGGACAAGAGGATCCCCCTTCAGAGCTGCTCATCATGTACAGACCCGGGAAAGTAGTTGTGGTCAGCAAGTTTCAGTACCACCCATTCTCTCCCAGTCTTCCCACTGCAAATCAGAGGTCAGAACCTCAGAAAGAAGGAAAAAAAGAATAGTGGAGATTAAATTGCCAGGGTCAGGTCTAGCCATCTGTACAGGAGTTTTGCAGTAGATTTGGCTTTCCACCATCTATCCATCCTCTAAGGCCTCCCTGCCCCACCAAGAAGCTCTGACTGGGCAGGTTAACCGGCCTTCAACTCAGCTCCCTGCCCCCCAGTTCTCACCACCTGGAGGAGGGGACAGGGCTCTGCAACTTCTTAGGAATCATTTCAGGCTCCTTCACAACGTTGTACATCATAACCCCTGTCCTTGTTACTGACCACAGCGCCAGTCGTATTTTGGAAAGGGGTACGGGGAGATAATAGTGAGGGGTCTTCCCCAGTTTCCCATGTGGCCAACCAGCCTGTGGCTAAAGTGAAGGTGAAGTGAGTGTGTTCCCCTGGGTAACAGCAGGGTGAATCTGCTTATTCCTAGCACAGTGCCTGGTACACAGTGGGGACACAATAGCTGCTCTTTCATCACACTGTGTCCATGGTGGCAGCAGGTGATCCAGCCTCTCCAAATGTTGTGCATGTTCTTCCCCTCCCCCTGCGGGGCCAGCATGGGGCCATTCTTGGTCCCTCTAGGTCCACTGCCTGACTGCCCTGGGCCACAAGGGGAAAGGGTGACACATCAGCCCATGAGTTCAGAAAAACCCTTACATCTAGATCTCACATATCTCGAGTGACTCTTGACCTTGACAGGCAGGTCAAACCGACCAGGACAGCAGCCCCGCGGTCCGCCAGCCCCTCGCCGGTGGCTGTCCCCCTCCCCCCCCCCGCCGCCCGCTGCAGCGGCAGCACACACTGCAGGCGCGCGCCTGCGCGCGCACACACAACACTCACTACTACCTCCTGCATGACTCATCATTGAAGCAACAATAGGCAGAGAAAAAGGAAAGGAGGGCGAAGCACCAAAACCAACCCTGCCGAAGAGGTGGAAAGGGGGAGGTTGGAGGGGACAGGAGCGCCCAGATACGGCACAACGATCCAGGGCGGAGGCCCGAGCAACCGCCGGGAAAGCGGGGGTCTTCCCCTCAGTCCCTGTTTCTGCAGCACACAAGCTGGGGGCCACCAGCAGGGCGTGTGGGGCCGGGAGGCATCTGGAGCCCTCCTCTCCCCGTGTCGAGAGCGTGACAAAGTTTGTTCCCTTTCAGTCTGGCTCGCTCTACAAAGTGGCCAGGGGTGTTGCCAGGAGGTCTGATGAGAACGTCCTCAGGGTCAGTGGGAATACGTGAACTCTAAGTGTCTCGCCGCTCAGGGATTCTGAGGATTTCCCTCGCCCCGAGATCAAACACAGGAGACCGGGGCCAGAACCGACAGGTGAGCGCCAACCCTCCTTCCCCGGCAAAGGCTCAGCCTGGAAGATGCCCAGCGGCCGGAGTCAGGGCCCAACCCGGCGCCAGGCCCGGCGCCAGCCCCGCCCAGGCCCCGCCCCTGGCCGCGCGCGAGGCAGCGAGGAGGGGCCGGGCCGCGCCGTCCCCAGCGGGAGTGTCCCCCGTGCACGTGGTCGGGGGCGGGGCCCGGCCACGTCACCGCGCGGTGTAACCAACGGGCTGGGGCGGCAGGCGCACGCAGCATTCCAGCCGGAGCGGGTCTGGAGCGCGCAGACACGCCACATTCCACACCCGCTAAAGTGGGGCGCAGCCAGGGGGAGCCTGGGGGCTGCGCCCGGCGACCCGCGGGTGGTTTCCCGGACGCCCAATCAGCCCGGCTCTGGACCGAAGCCGCGACCGCGGACCCAGCCCAGCCCTGGGAGGCGGGGTCAGGTGGGGCTGGCCAGGATCATAAGACGCGCGATGTCATTTCATTCTGCAAAGGCCGCCTCCGCCCCAGGCGGCGAGTAGATCTGCCGGGAGCGCCCCCGCACCTTCCCCACGGGGCCGGGGACACCGGGGAGCTGCCGGGAGTAGAGTACTCCCCCCCGGCTACACACACGCCCACTTGTGTGCACTCCACACTCGCCCGTGTACACGTCCGCTCCTCGGCTCTCCTCGAGGCGCGCTTCCCATCCCCGTGCACACACGCACGCACACGCGGGGCTGCACCCCCACGCAGCGCCGCTGCTCACCCCATCCCCCGACTCACACACTCCCCGCGCCGCCCCGGGCGTCCCTGGCCCACGCGCCAGGAGCCACGCACGGAAGGTGCACAAGGGGCGGCGGGCGGCCGGGGAGGCGCCTGCAGGGGCTGGTCCCCCCGCTGCATGCTAATGAATTCATTAAATAATTCCGCTGCCCACAATACTCCTCCCGGGCGGCGGCTCGCGCGCGCAGCCCCGCGCGGCTCGGCTCCGCGGGCGGGCCGGGGGACGGTCCTGCCCGCCGCGGGTCCGCGTGGGCTCGGGGGCCGGGGTCGCTCGCCGCCCTCCCCGGGCGCCCCAGGGGCCCAGCCCGGCCGCTCACCACGTGCTCTCTGTTGTTGCTGCGCCTGCCATTCCAGGAAGCGGGCTGCCTCCAGTAGCGTCTCTATGCTCATCGCGCCGAGGGCGGCCGGGGGCGCGCCGGGGCCGAGGCTGCGGCCCGCGAGCCGGGCACAGGTCAGGCTGGCGAGCAGGCAGGAGGGAGGGGTTACCTCCGGGGGGCGACAGGGCTGGGCGGCGCAGCGCACTCCGCAGGGAAGAACGGGGGAGCACGGAAGAAAAATCAATGTCTCCCCAAATATTTGCAAAATGTAATCTGCAAATTCAAAAAAATTCTGATGCAAAAAAAAAAAAAGGCGGCACTGACTCCCTCCTTCCCCTCCCTCTCTTCCTCCCTTCTGATGCCTCCCGCCCCGCAGCCCCCGGGAGTCCCGCCGACAAGAAAAGGCTTTGCAACAAGATGGCGAGGAGGCACCGACACACACAACAAGGGAAGGAGCCGCGCTGCCCCCGGCCGCCGCCCCCGCTACTACACGGGGGCCGCAGCCAAAGCCCGGACCGGAGCCCCCGCCCGCAGGGCCGCGGCGTCTCGCGAGGGGAGGGGCGGGGTCCCGGGCGCGCCGGCCCCGCCCACCGTGGAAGGCGCGCGGACACGTGGCCCGGGTGGGGGTGGGGCAAGCGCGGCCCGGCTCGCCGCCCGCGTTTCCGCTTTCCCGCCTCGCCCCGCCCCGGCTGCGAGCCGCAAGTTGAGCAAGGGGGCGCGTGTGGGTCATTCGCGGCGAAAGCCGTCCTGCTAGGAGGAAGGGAGGGCCGACAGCTCAGGACCCGAATTACCTCAGACGAGGATATCCCCGGTCGGGGAAGCTTGGGGGAGGTGGGTGCCAACCCGAAGCCCCGGTCTCCGCGCCCGACCTGCACGTGACCTCATTCCCGCAACCACCCGGCTGTCGCAAATCCCCCGGGACACGCCCCCTAGGCGGAGCTGATAGCCCGAGGCGGCCGGGGAGCCTGCGGAGGGAGCGGAGCGGGAATCCGGATCCGCGTTTTGTCTCCGTTCCTCCCCCCGCAGTGCGTTCGCATCCTATTAGGCGACGTCATCGGGCCGCGAGCCAATGGGCGGGCAGGACAACACGGCATGGAGCAGCTCCACATGGACACCCCGCGCCGCCAGCCTTCCGTTTAAAGGGCCCGTGTTTAGCCGGGTCACATTCGTGGGTACCGGTGGGGCCAGTGTTAACGATAGGCGGCACCCCGAGCGGGAAATTCTGCAGTTATGCCCTGGACAGCCCTTTCCTTTACACCCTCCCGTGAAAACCAAGGCTCTCCCTTTCCTTCTCCTCAACTCTAGTCTTTGTCCACGCTTTTCTGATGTGGGCGGAGACTCCAACAGTGCCACCCTAGAGGCCGCGCTGGGCTCGAGGGCCGGGGGGGACTAAGGCGAAGCGTCCGACGCCTGGACTAAGGGGGGTGTGGCCCAAATCGGGAACAACAGCGTGGAGAGCGGAAGCCTGGCCCTGCCAGCGTCGGGGCGATAGAGGGCGTGGGCGGGGCGCAGGGGCCGGCGGCTCTGCTGGACCTCTACAGCGCGCACCTAGCGGGCGGGGATCCCCGGTGGGCTCGCCCTACCGCTGGTGTTTAGGGGCGCTTGGGGATACAACCAGAAAGTTAGACCTTTGAGGTCAGCTCACCCAAATCCTCTCCTTTGGCAGATAAGTAAACTGAGGCTCATAGTCGAGAAAGGACACACTCAGTATTTCAGTTGTTGCTCTTCAGTGGGAAGAAGCACTTAGCCCTCACCCCATGGACGACCCTTTTGAGGGCAGCTCTGGGGTAGGTTGCCCAATTGGCGGGGGGGGGGGGGGGGGAATGTCATGGCGAAATACCAAACTGCTCCCACAGGAGGTAGTCTGGCAACAACATACTGATAGAGGTCATCAAAATTTTTATCTGAAATCCTGCTGGCCAGCTTCTGTGGTGGAGGCTGCACAAACCCCGCTGGGACTTAATAGGGACAAGCACCGGCTGACTCAAAGCATATTTGGGGCACTTGAACATGGCTGTTCCAATGCCAGCAAGTCTGGAGCCCCTCAGTCCTGACTCAGGTTTCCTTTTTTTGCTAATAGAAAGAGTGGGGCAATGACAGTTGCATTCAAGGATGCTGCAGCCATATAAAAAAGCCAGAAAGCAAATCTTTGAGGATGGCTGAGTGACAGAGCATCCTGTCAATCCATCGCATCCATTCCATGCCCACTGCAACATCAGAAGGGTATGTTTCTACTGCGGAGACTAGTTAAAGAAGAACTAGAAGCGTAGAGTTGGTATAAATGCATGTTTGCTGACTTTGCTTTTTTTTTTTTTTTTTTTTTTTTAAGGCCTAGTGCGTCTTAATAAAATCTGCACAGATCCTAGAAATCACAAACCTAGTAAACAGGAGGAAGGGGTGGTGTTGGCAGGGTTGTTACCCAGGACCAGCCTACACAGGTCTCTGATCTTTGCACATTTGTAGATGAGCATGGAGAGGCCACTACATACCTAAGTGCCAGGCTGCCACTGGCCTTGCTTATGAAGCTGGAAAGCGAAGGGGAAGGCAGGTTTAGAGCACAATAGGTCAATTCTCCACAGGAGGAACGCCCTTTTCCTGGGAGGGCTAGATTTGTGCAGGTCCTGATGTTGCTTCCTTTAAGGTGTCTGCCTCTTATCAGGGTGGATGAGTGTTTCACTGCACAACCAGAGGGAATGGGAAGTTTAAATGCAATATATAGGTGTGTGTGTGTGTGTGTGTGTGTGTGTGGTTAAACAATATACATAGTGACTGAAATAAGGTTCTTGTTCAAGTTGTTTTGTTTGGGGTTAGCAAGGAAGCATTCTGCCTACTGGTCCAGGATGCAGAGAGCTCCATTTGGCCCAACCCTTTTGCCTTTCCCAAGTGGTCATGGCACTGGTACAGCCCTGAGGTTTCTTCTAGAGGCTGAAGTCCAGTTTTTCTGACTCTTGTCAGAGACCAACTCTATGACATTAAGAACACACTCCTGGGCCTACCTGGTGGTGCAAGGGGTTAAGCACAGCACTATGAAGCTATCTACGACCTCTGCAGCACAAATTCCATCCCCGGCCAGGGAGCTTCCCACATGGCATAGCAGACCTCTCCTAACTCACCTGCTGCCCCCCTCAGCAGTGTGTTTCAGTCAATTTGCCTGTTCTGCTCCCCACTGTCTCTGGTGAGTCCTCCCCACCTCCTGCACCCCTGGCCTATACCCAGATGACATTCATTTACCCAAGCTCTTTATGCATAAATAAATCTTTAAAAAAAATAAAAGAGAACACACTCCTTTGAAAACTAGCACGTTGAAGGCACCATTTCCTTAAAGGGTGGAGAATGGGAGATAAAAGTGGGGTGAACAAATTCAAATGCCAGCCTCTCCCTTGCCCGCAATACCCCATCTGCTACAGAGCTTAGTGGAGATGCTTGCTATTTAAAACAAACAGCCTTACTGGCTTCACATGATCATCTGTTTATTTGGGTCATGTGGGGACAGCAGCCAGGGGATGTTAGGCAAAAGCAAGGGTTTAGAAAGGAGGCTTTCTGGGCCTGTCATTGCCTACTGGAGCTTGACCGTGGCCAAAACAGAATTCTTCATCAACCAAAATTTCCCCACTAGGTGAATGGACAATGGAGATAGGAGGTATCTGTAAGGGGAAACAAATGAGAAAGGAATGAATAGGACTGCTTATCATTTTATTTTAGCCCAGCTTCTTGTTCTGAGGGGGTGGAACTGGAGAAGCTGGCCATTGTATTCATTCAAGGGAGAGGGAAAAGAAGTCTTTTTGATGTTTCAGGAGAAAGGCTGGCATGTCTTGGTAATGATCAAAGTCATAAAGTTCCTTTATGGCTTCTAGGTGCTTAGTACCTTTGGGGCAGAAGGAACCCTGGGCCTTCCATCATTGTGGGCTCTCATGAGTGGGTTTCTATTTTCAGTTTTCTTCCTCTAGTCTTGTGCACCTCAACACCCAGTTTAAGTCCCTCAAATTTTTTGTTATGCTAACTAGAGACATTCCTTTAATGAGACTATCTTTCATCTTCCACCATTCACCCCAATGGAGCATTACTAGTACATAGTATATAGGGTCCTGATCTCTGCATATTTAATGGCCCAGCATCTGTGGTTGAGCATGGAGGGGCCACAGCTCTAAAGATCTATGAAAATCAGTTGTGTGATCCCTGCAAAGTACAGGCCATGATATGGGAGAAAGCGGCTACCAAGCCAAACGTGCAGACATTTACACTAGTTCCCAGATGTCCTAACTCTTCAGGCCTAACTTCTCAAAAGTTGCAAGTGGTTTTAAGTCACTCTTACTTAACAATTAAAGCAAGACCAAAAAGAGAAAATTAGCTATGAGATGAAGAGGAAGGGACAGATTAGTATACTCAGGGACATACCAGATGACATTCATTTTACAAATATTTATTGTGTGCCAGGAGCTGGGCTAGATATCCTTGTAGTCAAGGTCACAAGGTCTTTGGTGAGGGTAAAAGATCACAGAGCTAAACTCAGTTCCACAGTAATACCTACAAAAGGTAGCTCTGCTCTCTACCACCATAATGGATGTAGCACAAGAGGATGTACTACTGATTACAAAGTCTCATAAAGGTGCTGACTCATTTTAGGTTGTCAGATAATCCTAATTTTCTTTTTTTTTTAAATAAAGATTTATTTATTTATATAAGAACTGGGGTACAGGCCAGAGGTGTGGGAGAGTGAGAGAATTCACCAGAGACAGAGTGGGGAGCAGAACAGGCAGATCTACTGAAAACACTGCTGAGGGGAGGCGCGGGCAAGACAGGAGAGGTCTGTCGCCACCATGTGTGTATCTCCCTGGCCGGCCGGGAATCAAACCTGCGCTGCAGAGGCTGTGGACAGCTTCACAGTGTTGCGCTGAACCCGCTGCATCACTGGGGATGCCCGATAATCCTATTTTTCTAAGGTCAAGAAGAAATAAGTGAATTTAAGGTTGGGTTAACCAACTGAACCTGATTCCTGACAAGCCCACTGTGAATGAATGAGCAAGATTTTTTACTTACTTTGATAAGTAAGTAAAATCCTAAATGAAGAGCCAAAGGTTTCTACCTGTCAGCACCTACCTTCCTCTATTCCCAGTGAGTAAAGGGGTTCTCCTGAACCTACAAAACTGGTACAATCAAGTTCCACCTTTCCATCACATCCTTTCCCTTTTCTTTGCCTCACATGATGTCACAGCTTCAAGAGTTGAGATCACCTGGTCCAAGACAGTGTCTTATCCATGGTCACAAAGTTGCTTAGTGTCAGCCTATTCCTCCTTTGACTGTGTGGGATAGTCCAGCCTGGGAAAGTAGGATCAGAGTCCTTGAAAAGCTCACAGAAATGGGTGATAGTAAGGAGATCACTTCTCCCCTCCTGGATGAAGACAGGAATAATCATTAACTTTGCATAGTGGTGCCCAATAAACAAGCTTAGCAGATGAGTGAGAAGGTAAGGAAAGTGAATCAGGCTTATGGTCTGGGTACTCAGAAGAACTTGGAGGACACTATAAGACCTCAGGCCACTCTGAAAATTTAGAGCTTCTTAACTTACTGTACGAGCTTCTGGGCCTGGGTAGATAGCCATGCCTCACTTTATGTCCAGCCTGAAAAAAAGTGACTGGTTAAAGGGGCAGATTTTTATCCAAGCAACCACCCTGGGTGTGAACACTGAGTAATAAGCAAAGAAATGCAGTTCAGGGGGAGGGGAAAAAGGGAGGAGTCCTGTACTCTGAGCTTTTCTGAGAAACGAAAGAGGCTAGTCAAGCTATGCAGCTAGAGTGGGAGCTATGGATGACTTGGGTAGGAGAAAGTAGATCAAAGTGGAAAGGCACAAGAGAAATGAGGAGGATTTCAATTATTCCTTTGAAGAAAAAAAAGTTGGCTTTATGAAAGTAAATTAATTCAGGACAGAGGGAGACTGAGCAAAGATATGAGTAGAGAGAGGTGGAGTCTTGCCATGAGAGTGCAGAGCCAGTTGAGCAGCGGGAAGTTGGGGGCTACTGATGATAGGGAAGGTCCTACCCAGGGCAGAGGGCTCGAATGCAATCAGTGTCCCACAGAAAGGACTAAGGTCTACTGTCCAAGCAACCCAAGCTCACACCTAAATGCAAAGCTACAGAATCAAGTCTTTGAAACTCAAGAGATCAGCTATCTGTGCTAGTAATCGATGCCTTCTCAGAAGAGTATGTAAGGTCCAGAGGAATGTCCTGTTACTGGTTGAATTACCTAGATCGAGGTCTCAGCTCCACAACTACAACCAAATTTCTTATCAAGGCCCCAACACCTATAGAATCTGTATTGAGAAACACTCTAGGAGCCACATACCTGTCTGTGCCTCTCCTCCCCTTCCAGGCTGGGGTCTAGGATAGTAGATACAACCCTTCCCAGGCCCCACCCTGCTAGAGTCCCTGTTCCCAACACAGACACCTCAGAGGCAGTGCTAGAGTTTACCAGTAATCTCGCCAAAGAGTTACTCTGTAGTAACTCAACTATTTGTTAAAACACAGGCCCTTAAACCTCATATCATACACCAATATAGATTCAAGTGTTGAATGTAAACAATGTCAAAAAGAGGGCCTCCCTGGTGGTGCAAGGGGTTAAGACGCAACTTATGAAGCTGTCCCCAGCCACTGCAGCACGAGTTCGATCCCTGGCCAGGGAGCTACCCACATGGCATAGCAGACCTCTCCTGACTTGCCCGCTGCTCCCCTTGGCAGTCTATTTCAGTCAATCCTCCTGTTCTGTTCCTCACTCTGTCTCTGGTGCATCCTCTCACCCTCTTCCCCCCCCACACCTCTGGCCTGTACCCCAGTTCTTCTATGTATAAATAAATAAATCTTTTAAAAAAAAGAGTCAGAGTCTTAGTAAAACATAGGTAGACATTTTTCTGTTCCAAGAGTGATGAAGGAGGTATCTACCACTAAAGGCAAACAAAGAAAATACAAAGGCATAGCATGACTGATTTGATTACATAAACCCTCCAAAGGCTCCTAAATGCAAAACAAAACAAAGTCACCATAAATAAAAGGAAAAGATGTGTGAAAAAATGGAGGAAATATTGGTAAGATGTGCCCTTCCAATTCACTTAAAAAAAAAAAAAAAACTGGATAGAAAAATGAAAGCAGTTAAATCCACATATATGAATAATTAATCTAAATATTAAAAAAAGTTTCACCTTGACTATCATAATAAAAGTGAAGCAATAAAAATATTTCTGGCTATCAGTTGATAAAGGATTTTTAAAAATTCATCTTCTAGTGCTAGCAGAAGTATGCTTAAAAAAAACAAAACAAACATACTGGGGGCCTCCCTGGTGGCGCAAGGGGTTAAACTCAGCACTGTGAAGCTATATATATCTGCAGCATGAGTTTGATCCCTGGCTGGCCAGGGAGCTACTCACATGGCGCAGCAGACCTCTCCTGACTCGCCCGCTGCTCCTGTCAGCAGTGTATTTCATTCAATCTGCCTGTTCTGTTTCCCACTCTTTCTGTGGTGAATCCTCTCACCCCCCACACCTCTGGCCTGTACCCCAGTTCTTGTATGCATAAATAATCTTTAAAAACAAGAAACAAAAAACCCAAACAGGCACTTGTGGAAACAAACTAGCACAACCTTCTTAGAGAGCAAAATGGAAATACAGTCTTTAAGAGTCCAGTCTCCTGCTGCAGTAATTCTTATATATAAATTTATCTTAAAACAGTAAGAAAAAACAAAGATATTCACTAAAGCATGATTTACAATAGTGAAAACGAGAAAACCTGAATTTCCAGCCAGGAACAATTGGTTTACTGAGGTAACCCTCACAGTTTTAGCAAAAGGGTTGTGAATAAACCATAATATTAACTGTGGTTGTTTTCATGTTCTGTGATTATTAGTAATTTTTATTTTTGCAAGTTTTCTGACATAAATTTTATACTTAGAATAAAGGTTATATCACAATTACATTGCTAAATGAAGAACGTAACTAATATGATTCCACATTTGCTGTTTAAAAATATATATGCAGGGCCTCCCCGGTGGCGCAGCAGGTTGAGCACTGCACTGTGAAGCTGTCTGCAGCCTCTACAGTGCGGGTTTGATTCCCAGTCCGCCAGGGAGAAACCCACATGGTGCAGCAGACCTCTCCTACCTCGCCTGCTGCTCCCTCCAGCAGTGTTTTTGGTCTGTCTGCCTGTTCTGCTCCCTGCTCTGTCTCTGGTGAATTCTCTCACCCTCCCGCACCTCTGACCTGTACCCCAGTTCTTGTAAATAAATCTTAAAAAAAAAAAAAAAAAAAAGAAATAAAAATATAAATGCAGGGCCTCCCTCGTGGTGCAGGGGTTAAAGTCTCAGCCCTATCAAGTTATCATCAGCCACTGCAACAGGAGGACAGTTCGATCCTGGCCAGGGAGCTAACCCATATGACCCAGCAGACCTCTCCTGTCTCACCTGCTGCTCCCCTCAGCAGTGTATCTCAGGAGATCCACCTATTCTGCTTCCCACTCACTCTGGTGAATCCTCTCACCCACCCCACACCTCTGCCTACACCCCGGTTTTTGTATGAATAAATAAAAACAAATCTCTATAAAAATAAAATACATGCATTTAAAAAATTTTAAAAGTAACAAAATATAAAAAAATGCGCAGAACTGTAAATTTTTATTTTTCCAAAGTTCTTAGGCAAATGCATTACTTTTGTAAAATGAAAGAAAGGGGAAAGTTCTCCTGTGCTTTATCAGGTAGTGCCTCATTCTCTTCATCGTAACTAATGTGACCTGTTGCCATGGGTCTACTTCCCATCCTGATCTTTCTTCTGGAAGATGTTTCACCCCGCCTCACTCCCAAAGATGAAGCAGATTTCTCCAACTCCCCCTTCCCCATCTATCTAAATTTGCTCCTTCATGGCTTAGCTTTGTTTTGTACTTTTTCATAGCAGAACTGGGATGTAGGCAGAGGTGTGGGGGGGTGGATTCACCAGAGACAGAGTGGGGAGCAGAACAGTGGATTTACTAAAATATACTGCTGAGGGGAGCACTGTCTAAGACAGGAGAGGTCTGCTCACCACATGTGGGTTAGTTCCCTGCCTGGGGACCGAATTCAGGCCTTAGCGGTGACAGCACTAGGCCACCAGGGAGGGCCCTCACTGCTTAACTTTGAAGATCAGGCTACCCTTTGTCCAGGCAAGTGATGAGAAAAAGCCTTAAGACAATGGCACTAGGGACACAGAAGTTGGGCTGGACTTTGGAGATATTTCTGAAGTGGAAGATTTTACTCTCTGGTTTGAGGAGAGGGAGGTACAGAGTTCCAGCTGGACAGCTAGGTAGATGGTGTTCCAGAATACAAGAGAGAAACAGGAGTAGACAATAAGTTGTGTTTGACACAGCTACAGTGGATATTTTTTTTTCCCACAGTGGAATTTAAGACACCCCACCAATAGGTGATTAGGTATGTGGAAACTGAGAGCTCAGGAATGGTCCAGATTTGTTTATGATGGATATATTATCGGTGAACAGTGTATGAGTCGATGAGGTCAGCCAACTAGAGAAAAGAACAAATAGGATCATTGCTAGTGTTCACCTACAATTCACTAAAATACAGACCAGAGTTTGGTCCATGAATTCCCATATCTGGCCTTAAAGGGGTGACTCCTGTGGCAAACATCTGAATTAAGGATCCTACCTACGTGAGACCAGACTAGAATCCTCTTTTCCCACTAAGAGACATCTGCGAGAAGGCCCTTGCTCACCCACTGACGCAGGAGGGGGTCCAACTCAGCACTGCTCTCTGGATAGCCTTCTCTCTCTCTCTCTGGGCAGCAGTAGCTCTGGTTGCCATTTCCCTGGGGGCTGACGGGCTGCTGGAGTCAGCCAATTTCCTCAGCTGGGAATTTCCTGGCTTTAGTTTCTAGACTCCCGGGCCACACTCCCTGAATGGGTCCACCAGATGGCAGGCAGCCTTTTCTTTTCTCCAGTTTTACACGAGTTCATTCAACCTACCTGGGGAAAGACGACGTATTTTTCTGACAACTGCTACCTTCTCTAAAAAAGCACATCAATTTTGTATTGTTCTATAAGTGAAATATTTTGAGTAGTCTATTATTAAAAAATAAAACCTCTCTTCCATTTACTATTCAATTATGTATTGTCAAAGAGTCCCAATTATGTATTGTCAAAGAGTCATTACCTAATTATGTTATTTTACATTGATTCTGATCCAACGTGTGCTTGCACTAGACATTTTATTTTGTGGTTTCACTAACTACTTAATTATCTCCACTACTGCCAAACACAAAATTCTAAAAAGATTTGGTAGCATAAATTAAAAACTAATTATAAGCAATTTCACTTACTAAATCTTGCTCATTGATCACAGGCTGGAAAAAAATCTAAATTGTGAAGTTTGTGAGAGATTCTTATTCTCTCTTACCTGTGTCATATAATTGAAGTCTCCTTCCCTAGAAGTTGGTCAAATGAGAATGGAGTCCATTTCTAACCCACCTACAGCACTTGCTATGAATCTTGAGATTTGGTACAAGATCCAAGTCTTGGATCACTGGGGCTAAGTTCAAATCCTGCTTGTGACTTAACTGTGAATAACCTTAGGGCAAGACATTGAAGCTTTTGAGCTTTCATTTCTTTAAGTTATCAAACAGGGACATCAGAATTTTGCAGGAGCACCAAATGAGACGATTTCTACACAAGATATCAATAACGGTTCTCTATTCATTCCTCCATTACATGGAAGCTTGGATTTTGCTCTTATTGGTAAGTGACTCTCTATACCTGCAGATGCACACTTGTGGAATCAGCTTTTTCATTTGAGTCATTGGTAGATTTCTGACCAGAAACTGAGAACTCAAAGAATAAAAGATAAGCAAGTTGAGATGCCTACCAGCTATTTAAGTACTTCTCTCACTTAACTGCTTACTCTGTGAAATAAATATTTCTCATCTCTTATATGGGGAAGCCAAAGCTAAGTGAAATTGACTTACCCTGTAAGTGGAAATGGAATGTAAACCCAGATGTGATGAACTGTGAAGTCTGAGCTTTGTTTCCTGATTTTCATTCCCCTGGCATGGTTTGAAAAGCATCTTGGATTTATACATCACTTGCCCTTTTGAGAGTTATCACATACAAGCTAATTCTACCAAGTTCCTCTGCAGGTTCTGGTCTACTTTTTCTATGTGTTTCTGGATTATGCATAACCCAGAACCCAGACCCATGATCCTACACTTCCCTGAAGAAAGTAGAGTCCCTCAAGTGTCTGGCTCAACTAAGATAGGATGACAGGCTATATATACCTCAAGGGGTATTCATTCAGAGGTGTAAGGCCTTCACCCAGTCACAACATAATCTCCAGAGTAAAAGCTCAGCCTCCAAAAGGCAGCATGAGTTGTTCCGAAAGGGAGCATTAACTGTTCCAACCAGCAATTAAAAAAACCAACCGCTGTTTTAGTCATTTGGGTGAGTCACAGCAGAGAATCTGAATGTCTTTCCAGAACAGAGCAGGATCTCTCTAGTGTGTGTTTGCAGCCCTGCTGCTAGTACAGTGAGCCCTAAGCAGGGCTTTCTAACACTGCTGGCACTGGCACCAAGAGGTTCTGTGCACTTGCATAGAAAGGTTCAGGCCCAATAATACCCTGCTCCCAGAAGCAAAAGTCAACTCATTCTCACTAGTAAGCCTCTTCTGGGTTTTACTGGTTTAGTGTCCATGCTTCGATCCAATCTCCTAAGTACCAACTTTCCTAAAAAAGATGTCCCTAAAAAGGATGTGGTCACAGAACTTTCCCACCTCCTCGATGGCTGTAAAACTGTTGCACCTTTGAGACTTTCCTTCTTTCACAGGATCCTTGCTTTCCAAATTGGTCCTTCTTCCTCCTAATGTGCAAATCTGTTGGACTCATAACATTGGTCCTGTGCCATAAAAATAAGAGTAAATGGAATTTCTTGAATTCACACACTCCCAGGTTTAGTAATAATACATGTTCTACACAGAAACACTCCCTGTGGGAATCCAGACCCAGCTAACCTATGTTATATACACAACACAGAACCAACTGTGCCAATGTTTGATGTGAACAACACATATTAACACACATGCCTGTTAGCCAGGAAAATACACCAAAACAAAAATTAAAAGACAAGAGAATATCAAAACCAATTTCTTCCTTAAGCTCTCTAAATCATTCTTCCTGAAACATAGATCCTTGAAAAATGAATGTTTAAGATTAGTAAACATTTCCCGCTCCAGTACCCTCACTAAGTAGATACCAGTAAGAAAGTGATCCAAAGTACTGACCCAACCTAACCCAACATGATATACTCAACAGTAGCAGGACAGGTGGAAAGAAAAAACAGTCAACTGGAACCATAAACATAGAAACACTGAAAGACAATGCCCAGATTTAAAAAAAAAAAGGGGGTGATTTTCCCCCGTTTTTCCTACCATTATTTTCCAAATTTTATTTATGTGAAAATACTTGCTTACATGAAAATATTTATATGAGTAGCTAGTGGATATTTCAAGAAAATACCAAGGGCACATTTTATGTGCTCACAATTAAGGCACTTGATACAACAGCCAAAGATGCCCCCGTGTGGCTAGAAAGAAAAACGCTATGGTGTAAGCCAGACAGACAGGTTCTTCCCTTTTAAAAGGCTTTGGATTTCCCACAGGCTCTTTTGCATCTTTTCCACACCCTGAAGTTTATTACTTGTCAGAATGTAGAAGCTGGTAAGCTCACATGGTAAAGCTTTGAATTACACCAAGACAAGAGGTTTCATGTTTTAAAAAATATAATATTTTCAGTCATCAACATAAACTCTTAAGATTAGCTGAGGGCCTCCCCAGTGGCTTAGGGGTTAAGTCTCAGCATTATCACCATGATGGGCCCACCATGGCAGCCTGAGTTCCATACTGGCAAGAGAGCTAATCCACATAAGGTGCACTAGACCTCTCCTGTCTCTCCTGCTGCTCCCCTCGGCAGTGGATTTCACTAGAAATCTGCCTGTTCTGCTCCAGCACCTTTGGCTTACACCCCAGATCTTCTACTAAATAAATAAATCTTAAAAAAAAAAAGAGATTAGGGCCTCCCTGGTGACACAAGGAGTTAAGACGCAACCTATGAAGCTATCCGCAGCCACTGTAGCACGAGTTCGATCCCCGGCTGGCGCAGCAGACCTCTCCTGTCTCGCCCGCTGCTCCCCTCAGCAGTACTTAGATCAGTCTGCCTGTTCTGTTCCCCACTCTGTCTCTGGTGAATACCCACCACCCCCACACCTCTGTGCCCCAGTTCTTGTATGCATAAATAAATAAATCTTAAAAAAAAAAAAGAAAAAGAAAAAGAAAAGATTAGCTGAAACTTGACCTCAGAGATGCTAGCCCTGACAAGTGGTGATGCTATTATATTGGGCAAGGACATAGAGTGAAGGAACCAAATTGCTGGAAGCAAAGCAGATTCCAAAGAACCAAAACTTTAGTCCCCCTTGGAAAACAAGTTAACTTCTGTTCCTACTTTAGTCATTATCAAGAGATAGAAGCCAAGGCCAGGGAACATAAAAGGATTTACAATGATACCATAAATATTTAACTCCTGGGCTTTCCCAGTGGTGCAGGGGTTAAGTCTCAGGACTATTAACCTATTGCTAGGCAGTATGGCATGAGTTTGATCCCTGGCCCGGGAGTTAACCCACATGGGGCAGCAGACCTCTCCTGTCTCGTCCGCTGCTCCTCTCAGCAGTGTATTTCAGTAGATTCACCTGTTCTGCTCCTTTTCCCCTATCCCAGAGGTGCATGTTGTCTTGCATCACATTATAAAGTATATGCATAACCAAAAGAAATTTTAAAGGTTTTTTTTTTTAAGTTTATTTATTTATGCATACAAGAGCTGGGGTGTAGGCCAGAGGTGTGTGGGGGGTGAGAGGATTCACCAGAGGCAGAGTGGGGAGCAGAACAGGCAGACTGACTGAAATACACTGCTGAGGGGAACATTGGGTGACACAGGAGAGGTTTGCTGCGCCATGTGGGTTAGCTCCCAGGCTGGGGATCGAACTCTTGCTGCAGTGGCTGGTGATAGTTTCAGAGTGCTGGGACTTAACCCATTGCGCCACCAGGGAGGCCCTTTAAATGTTTTAAAAAAATGTTTTCAAGGCTCCCTCATTAGATAGTAATAAGCTAATCTTTTCAGCAAGGAAATGAAGATATCTAATGAAAAGATAGTACCTAGTTCTAGTAGTAGAAAATTCCCTTGTCACATACCTTTTTAATTTTAAGAGTATTAGGGTAACACCTACAAAAATCCTCCATAATAGCAAGTCTTAAACCTGAGGCAGTGAAACACATAGAGAAATAACACATCTTTCTTGCCTCTAATTATGCAGAATATTCTCTGGGAATCTCTAAGTATTAAACAAAGGCTAACATCACATCTAAAGAACATTTTCAACAGGCAAGGAGTGTAAATAAATATACTACTGTTATAACCTGGAAAAATACAAAAGGTTAAATGAAAAAAAATGAAGTAAAACCGAGCATATAGCATTTGTACAACCAAAGTTAAGTCCACACACTCTCACACCCTATCTATAGAAAGAGAGACTAGAAGGAAACACTGAAATACCAACAGTGCTTGTATATGAGAAGACTGAGGCTAAGAGTGATTTCATTACTGTTTTTGCCTTCAGCTTTCATTTTCCCAGTATCTACTGAGCATGGGTATCAAGGTAAGGGTACAGTTTCATTCTTTTATAGTCAGATAAGCAAACAATTCTTTTTTTTTTTTTTTAAGCAAACAATTCTTATTGACTACTTATCAAATGAATAGTTGCTACTTAAACTCAATCATCCTCAAATTTTATTAAGATAGAAAATAGATTTGGGTTCAGCATGATTCAAAACGTGATAGTCATGATAGGCAAGCACGGCTGGTACAGTGTAGGTGGGTAGAGATTATAATTCCACGCATACAATGGAATCCAGGGCCCTGGATTGAATCTCAGTTCTATGTACGCCTGGGTATTGGTTTCCTCATCCTATCAAATGAGAGGTTGTAGAGTACAATGGTTCTTAGTCCTCATCTGGTTAGTGACACTCCCTCTCTAAAACAGAGACCCTTATTTCGAGGGTGGAGGGGAGGGCTTGAACACCTTGCTCACAGAGCCAGAGGTTTATGGATTCTTGGAAGGTGCATGGGCTAGTTTATAAACACTGACTGGTCACATGTTCTCTTTTTACACCTGTCTCCAATATTCAGGGAAATATTTTCATTTCTTTTATCTTTGTTTAAGGTCAGCTCTAGCTGCTGCCAAGATATGGCCAAGTCATCATCTTTCTGTTCTAACGGATAGCCACCTCTCAAAAAAAACAAAGTGGCTTATCTATTCAATCCCAGGCTTCCTTGAAAATGGCAAGGAACTCTGGTACCACACTCAGATTTCAGTCTAAACAGAACCCTAGGCTGCTGGTGTAAAATCAAGCTGTGAAAGTCAGCATGGCAGAGAGTGACTAAGAGAGTAAGAAAAGGAATTCCTTTTCCAGAGGCATTCCTGTTGAGCTCTGACAAGCCAATTAAAAACATGTTTTAAGAACATGATTTCCTTGGCCTCAGTACTCTCTGTTAATGATAAGCATTAACAAAGGAGATTACAACAGAACCCAGAAAAAAGTAGTATTTGATCAGTTACAACTTATCTGCCAACTGATGAAACTTTCTTAAGCAACCCACAGCACACACCCTTGTTGCTTCATTTCTTATTTTTTATCGCTGATCATTACCTATTCAATGCCAAGAAAAATATTTCCTCTACCCCTGGATTCAAAAAGGACTAAGAGTTTTCAATTCCAATACTCTCATATTAAAAACAAAACTGATCTCCACTTCAAATGTCAAAACAAATTAAGTCATACAGCAGGAAAATTGCTACAAAATGATACTTTTGACAGGGTGGAGGTAAGGGTATGGTTTCATTCTGTTGTATTTCAAATACATCTGGGAGTTTTGCTTACTTAATTCTGTTTCTGAAATAAGGAACACTAAAACAGAGATGAGTCAGGTATGTGATACAGCCAGGTGCTCACCAATACTTCTTCCTGGCAATAGCAGGGATTTTCTCTCCTACCACCTACTTCTAGGTCAGTTCCTTTCTCAAGATTGATGCAGGGGTAACCAATCATATGTACCCACAGAAAGTCTTCAGTCTTGGGATACACTGCCTCCATTTGGAGGATGGGAAAGCCACTCCACCTTCTTGAAGGAGGAACAATGGGTAAGAGTGAGCATGATGCTCTGCCCAGTTCTAACTCAGACCAGATTCCAAAAACAATCTTCTTAGTTTCAGAGAATCAGTCTCAAGGCAAGGTGGTCAGTTTAAGTCAGGTTTAAATCCCTTAAAAGTTTACTGATGGTTTTTGTTGATGTTGACAACCACGATTCTTCCTGAACTGCCATACTACAATGCTCTATAACTTAAAAAAAAAAAAAAAAAAAAAAAAAAGGGGGCGAGGGGGAGAATACAAATATTTAAAATGGACTAATTTGTTTCCATTTTTTTCTTAAGGTAATTCCATATAATGCTACCAATGGACCAATGGTAGAATTCCTCTTGCTACCCCACTGGTAACTCCAAAGCAAACTGTTTTGTACATAGAAACCTTCCCAACTACGCAAAAAAAAATTGGAGTTAACTAGCAACAAGCCTGAAAATTTGATTTCGTATATAGGTACAAAGCTGGTTCATCAAATCCCTGTTCTGGCCTTCAACCCAATGCATTTCAACTAAGGCATCATCCACCTCCTTCTTAATGTTTATCAAACACTTAAATAGGTAATGTCCAGCCACTCTCTGGAGATGATTCCCTTTTTCAGACACTGGGCTGCTGAGCTGCTCAAAAGTCTCTCGGTCCTGGGATCCACTGCCAGAGCCTTTACAACTTTCCAAAGCCCCCATCCCTCCCTTCTCCTCACTCCTTTCATCCTCCATGACTTCTGGGTTTTCATCCTGGGAAAGCAAATCCTGGTTTGGGCCGTGGCCCTCAACTGTGACAGGCTCGCCCTCCAGTGGAGCAGGCCCACACAGGGCACTCTCCGGGGGGCCCTTGGCCAACTCTTGGCTACTGCCAGACTCTTTGGGAGTAGACTTTTTCTCTTCCAAGGCTTGAATGACATCTTCAGGAGCTCGGGGAACTTCTCTCAATTGTCTCACTCGTTCTCTTTTCTTTCTCCTTAAATGAATCCAGGAGTTTTCTATGGCTGTTAGGAAAAGGCTAACTTCCTCTTTTCCACAGGGAACTCTTTTATGTTGGACCTATTTGGAGGAAAAACACAATTTATAGAAAAATCACTTTTCTCCTTGCGAAACTTATTTTAAATAAAGAAGAGAATAAAAGGAAGATAGTAAGTACTTCTTCACACAGTGAAGATTATTTATTAGCACTTCACTGGGATTAAACCAAGTACCTTGAGATCGGTGAGAATTTTTTCAATCCATGTTGTCACAACTACTATGCCTTCCACTGTCTCAGAACCCAAGGATGAGGCTTTGAGAGATAATTCTTTCATCACAGACTCCAACACTACAAATGTAATGGGTTTCCTTGGCTTCTCTAATTTTCTTCGCTTACTTGGTGGTGACTGAAAGAAAAAGGCATGAAGAAGAGAAAGTTATCCAACTAACGAAATTTCATGCATTATGATGAACTCACCAGTGAAAAAAATTTTCCTATTTCTGCTACCAAATGCAGAGCACTAAAAACACAAAATCCTTTGCACATTTATTTTCAAAACTTACAACAACCCTGGAAACTAGCTTTCCATCTTCCCACTTTACAGAGGGAAAAACTAAGACAGAGGTTATATAATCGGTTCCAAGTCAGACAGCTAGTAATTACAAAATTACTATTTGAACCCAAAACCCAGGTACCCTTTGCCATACCATGCTGCCCGTGTTCTGGCCAGCAGTACGTACCTCCTCCCATTACTAACTGTTCTTAATTTACCTACTCTGCCCAAAGCAGACCCTTAAAATTATTCTTTTCTGTAGCAACTTTAGAAACCTCTGGGGGGCACTGTGTTCTCTCCTATAAAGAACTGCATGGCTTAAAAACCACTAACTGCTAGTATGAGTTTATACTTGCTGAGGCTTGACAGAAGCAGTCAGTTACAGCTTGTGAGATCACAGCAAGGAATGGCAACAGCCACTAGGATGGAGAGCAGGGGAGAGGCAGATTGCTGAATCTTGGCTAAAGTTAGGGCCAAGTCAATGGCTAGCCGAGCATTGCAGCTCAGCCAGGGAGAGTGGATATGAGGATATCAGTACTAATGAGAACAATGGATATAAAAGCTGATTCCACATAAATTTTGTTTTCTTTCTTTCTTTTTTCTATTTCAAGCTTGAAAAGTGAATTATATTCTCCCCACTAGGGGGACTCAGGTTCCATTAAAAAAATCAAATGACACAACTATTTTTACAATTGCTTTCTTTAAAGTTTAAACTTACTAAACATTTTTTGTAAGTATTGTTAGTGAATGTCAGATACATTATAGGCACGTTGTTTTAAGAGATAAACTTGTACCTGCTTGATAAAACTTATCAAAACATTTAAATATTAATTCTCAGGTCAGGTTCAAAATAAGCATGTAAGAATTAAAAGGATAAATTTCCCAAAAGAGAAAACATCAATCAATTCTGAAGATCTTTTCTTGAAAAAAGGGCATCTGATAATTGTGCTGCTACCTACAATTCTACCTGGAAACAGAGACAGAGTACATGCACCTATACACACAATAAAGTCCAATTACTGGGTAAGATTTTACAAGAATTAGCCAGCAACACCATATACTCCATAAATACATAAGATAGTTTACTCCAGGGCCTTCCCGGTGGCGCAGTGGTTGAGAGCTGGGTTGCGAAGCTGCCCGCAGCCTCTGCAGCACTGGTTCGATCCCCTGCCACTGGGCGAGGGTCCCACATGGCGCGCAGACCTCTCCTGCCACGCCCACTGCTCCCCTCAGCAGTGTATTTCGTCCATCTGCCTGTTCTGTTCCCCGCTTTTGGTGTGGTGAATTCTCTCACCCTCCCGCGTTTCTGACTGTACCCAGTGCTTGTATAAATAAAAGTAAATAATTTTTTTAATAGGATGTTTACTTTTTTTTTTTTTTAAAAAAAGATTTATTTATTTATACAAGCACTGGGTACAGTCAGAAGCATGGGAGGGTGAGAGAATTCACCAGAGCCAGAGCGGGGAGCAGAGCAGGCAGAAGGACCGAAGCACACTGCTGAGGGGAGCAGCGGGCGGCAGGAGAGGTCTGCGCACCATGCGGGACCCTCCTCTGGTGGCCGGGGAGCAGCAGGGGATAGAACCAGCGCCACGGAGGCTTCGGGCAGCTTCGCAACCTAGCACTCAATCACTGCGCCACCGGGGAGGCCTGAAAAGTAAATAAATCTTAAAAAAAAAAAAAAAAAGCTTACTCCATGCCAGAAAACTTTCAAAGATTTATTTTTATGTCTTTATGCATACAAGATCTTGGGTGTAGGCTAGAGGTGCAGGGGGTGAGAAGATTCACCAGAGGTAGTGTGGGGAGCAGAACAGACAGATCTACTGAAATATACTGCTGAGGGGAGCAGTGGGTGAGACAGGAAAGGTCTGCTGCACCATGTGGGTTAGCTCCCTGGCTGGGGATCGAACTCATGCTGCAGTGGCTGGCAATAGCTTGAAAGAGTTGAGACTTTACCCCTTGTGCCACCAGGAGGCTCCATGCCAGAAAGCTTGTAAAGTAGTATCAGAAACAGAATTTCTTTCTTTTTTTAAAAAGATTTTATTTATTTTTATACAAGAACTGGGGTACAGGCTAGAGGCGTGGGAGGGTGAGAAGATTCACCAGAGTGGGGAGCAGAACAGGCAGACTGACTGAAATACAGTGCTGAGGGGAGCAGCAGGCGTGACAGGAGAGGTCTGCCATGCCTTGTGAGTATCTCCCTGGCCGGCTAGGAGTTGAACCAGCGCTGCAGAATCTGCAGAGAACTTCACAGCACTGTGCTCAACCTGCTGTGCCACTGGGGAGGCCCAGAAACAGAATTTCTAAGAAACAATGTATACCTCCTCTTTATACCAGAAAGCAACTAATTGGAAAAAAAGGAAACTAGAATAGTATCAAACACAAAGGGTATAAGAACCTGCTCGAGAAATTAATAGTGGACTCTAAGCCATGTCTGAGCCTGAACTTGTTCAGTTAATGTTTCAAACAAGATGATACAAATTCACATTGACATTAACACAGTAGTATTGTTATTACTCAATCATCCAACTTAAGATACAATATTTCTACAGTCCACTAAGAGCCGAAGACTTTACACTAAGGAGCTTAAAATATGATTATTAAGGTGGGGAGGAAGAAAGATGGTGGTGTGTAAGAGAAGAATGGGGGACAAGAATCAAATTTCCAATTTCACTTAACCAACACCCGAGGCTGTTACCTTGGAGAGGTCACAGTAACAGGGCCATCCCTAACAGCCATCCTAGCATACCAAAGGTCATCTACAAATATGGTTAAAAGGATATAACACCCCATCTCTCTTCTGACAGAGGATGACAGTCATTTGTGCCCATAAATTCCACCCAACAAATTGAATTGCTGTTTCTCATTTGTTGTGCTAAAGCTGGCCTGCAATACGTTCTCCGAAAGTTTAGAAAAGACTCAACATCATGTCTAGAACTTAAAGGAGAGATAAACCTAGTAAGAGTGCTATCAGACTCTACTTTCCAAGTTCTGAGGGAGTCAGAAACAACACAGACTATTACCCTGTTATCCCTGGAGGAAAATGAAGACTTCCCTATCTCAAAAAAGGCACCTGAGTGCCAATTTTCTACATACAACTGCCAATCAACAAATTTGGTATTTCTGAAGATTTTTACTTAACTGTTTTAACACACAGGTACACATACATAATCTCAGGATTGCTTTAGGATTTTACTCTACTATAGAAAATGAGTCACTCAAGAGACAGACAATTTATAATCTAGAAATTCCCAGGCAACATTCTTAAATGATTGAAGATTAACTTAAGCTTGGTTTACAGCAATTATTCCTCTCCCCATCTTGTTTGTACTGCAACAGTTAACATGGCAGGGTCAAGAGTAAAGTAGGCCTCCCGTTGAGCGCTGGTTGCGAAGCTGCGCTGCGGCGCCGGTTCGATCCCCGGCTGCTCCCCGGCGGAGGAGGTCCCACATGGCGCGCAGACCTCTCCTGCCGCCCGCTGCTCCTCAGCAGTGTACTTCGGTCCTTCTGCCTGCTCTGCTCCCCGCTCTGGCTCTGGTGAATTCTCTCGCCCTCCCGCGCTTCTGACTGTACCCAGTGCATGTATAAACAAAACAAACAAAGAAACCAGCAAACAAATAAATAAAGCATGCCTAAAAAAAAAAAAAAAGAGTAAAGTAAAGGAGATCTTGAGAAATTAATAGGTAAATTTAACTCCAGATCTCTAGTAGAGGATAATTTCATACCTTGCCACAACACTAGAAAATACAAGTTGTTTTTCCTCAATAGAGATGATCTTATTTTGCTAATATGCTTATAATCTCAAATCACAAATACAGAGTGGGGAGCAGAACAGGCAGACTGACTGAAATACACTGTTGAGGGGAGCAGTGGGCGAGACAGGAGAGGTCTACACTGGGCCATGTGGGTAGCTCCCTGGCTGGGGATCGAACTCATGCTGCAGTGGCTGTGGATAGCATCATAGGCTGTGTCTTAACCCCTTGCGCCACTAGGGAGACCCTCACAAATATTTTAAATGAAGAGTGCTACACTCAAACTGTCATAATCTAGTTTAGCAATCGAGGCAACAGAAATAATTCAACATTTCAAAGTGTTAAAAAAAAATCAATCATTTATAATGGCTAATTAATGCAAAGAGCCAGAAGGTGAATTTACAACTTATTTAAGAATAGAAAATGTACTACTACACCACCCAGGTGAAATTCAACTGAAATTCAACTTGAAAAATTGGTGGAGAGCTGCAAATCCTACAGGGGTTTTGAATTTTAAGAAAGTATCCAATGCATAATAATCAAAAGGGGGGTGTGCTTTAAGTGTTATTTTGTGGCATTATTAAAAACACATCAGACTGAAACCAGTGGGCAAAATCATTCTTAAATTTTAAAATATGCTTCAGCTTGCAGGTCTGTCTATAAATTTCTCACATCCCAGTTCTTACTTTAATTTCTAGATCTCAGTGGTGCAGTCAAGAGAATTTCAGATGAGGTGTAACTTGACACAAATGTAGCATCTGTTATGCTGCCAAAGCTC